TTTGAATAAATCGATTGCCTTGTTTACAAAAGTCATTATAAAGTATGCCAACTGAGCTGAAAGGGGAGATGGCAGTGAGTTTCATGAAATATGGATCAGTGTCATGTCTGGTTTAATGATTTCAAAGATGTTTAGGAGCTATTTTCATGATTAGTTAAGCTGCCAGCTAGGGTCTATATGTGAAACATATACAACAAACACAAGTGTAGATGCAAGTAGTTATAGTATTCACGTACAGTTGGTATTTGATATGTCCTTTATAGTTCTCATAAAAGTCAACATTTTTATACTACGTATTAGCTACTAAACGATCAAGATGGCGACACACAAATTACACAGCAACTCAGTGATTATTAATTAGAGCTAACTTACCACAGTCTGAAATGTTCTCACTTTCACGACAAGTGGCTCTCTCATGATACTAACGAAGGATCGTTGTAACAATGTGGAGAACTGTGACAACCAGCTGGCCTTGTACCTAAAAAGTACATGATAAATATTATATGTAAAGTCTATATATGAATATAAATAAATATAATATGTGAAATAAAGGCCCCTTAGCCACTATTCACAATAATCTGCATTGTGATGCTATATCCTGAATATTAGAACAACAAAATAGAATAGAAAACATAATATAACATATATAACATAAAGTTAACAGACAGTGTAATTCTGAAAACCCATCCTGCATATTTCAAATAGGTTACAAGCTATTTAATAGCAAAATTAGCTTTGCTATGATCTGGTGGATTTAACTAGAATATGGGGACAGTAAAATCATTTTTAAGTTTTAACTTACGGGGATTTGTGTGCCAAGGTTTCACCAAACTGCAACAAAATATAACCACTTTTTAATGCCATAATAATATATACTGTAAAATAACAACATCTATACAAAGGTTATAATGTCATAACAATATAATTCATAGATTCATAAATGTGATGACATTTTAATGAAGGCAATAAAGAACACGATAAATCGCACATGTGTATAACATGGGAAATATAGGTGGAGATACTGTCGTACCTCTTTCAACAGACAGAACACATTCCTGCAGCTTGTCCGCTGAGCAAAACATCCATTAAACAATGTCATTATAATAAGGTGCTTATAAAGATCTGGCCCACCATGCTAGGACTTGGCAGGACTAGACATGACACAGCATGGCTTTCACTATCATTTAAAAGGATTGGGTTGGGCAAGCGTAGAACAGTCTATATCATGTTATCATGGAATCACATTAGATTGTTACAAATCCATAGCCAGTGCAGTGCTTAAATTAATGCTGGCGCAACACCAAGTAGTAGAACATGGGTATTAGTGTTGTTTCATGTGGGATTAGGTTGAGGATCATAATCTTGAACAGTTGGCAGTGGGTATTATTAACAGTTCATGTTTTTATGGTTTCATTGATTTTCAATCTAATGATGCTATATCCTATTATACACTATTTTTGCCCATTAAACAAAAATCCATTGGACAGGCCTTTAAATGCAGATATTATAGTACTCATGCATATACCTAGGCAGGGATGTGCATAAGTACAAGCACACATGGTTTATAATAATAACTACTGAGAGAAAAAAGGGGAGGGAGAGGGAGAAAAATATAAAAGAGAGTATGCGAGTGACAAAGGCAGGGAGGGACGGAGGGAGGAAGAGAGAGAGAGAGAAAAGAAGGAAGGGGCGGAGATAAAATGAGAGAGAGAAAGAGAGAGAGGGAGAGAGAAAGAGCGAGAGCGAGAGAGAGAGAGAGAGAGAGAGTAGAATGACGGGGAGAGAGACGGAGGACAAC